CTGGGCCGGGTGGGCAAACTTCAGATGTTGTAGCAGCTTAAAGGAAAGGTAGGGGGCGGGATATCAATGATCATTATGTTAATTCTTGTTACTGCTGAAAATACTGCAGGGAGTTGGTCCCTTCTCAAGAGAGAGGATATTTTTTAATTATGGTTTAGCTCGCCCGCATTGGACAGGTACCATCTGGCTTTAATCATTCAGAATAAAATACTGAAGTTTTGGCTCATTTTACTTAGCACTTACTTAAAATTCCATTTATGTCAGAGAGGGACCTGTCTGAGTCAGAATTTGTCCTTTCTTTTGCAGTAAGTATTACTCATCTCACCAGCCTTAATAAAGTATGGGGCATGGAAAACAGGTCTACAGATTTATACGGGTGCAAAATTGATCATTTGATTTATATCCCTTTCCATGTTGGCCAATACACCAACAGGAGCAAAATCAGAATTTTGTGGTTCAAGGCACTTTTGTTTTCATTGATGTAGTCCAGATATAAGGCTTTAGAAAAGGTTTTATGTTAGTACACAGAAAAGGTTTTATGTAGTGTATTTGAATGTTATTTTCACCTAATCACTACTGAGCAGGTACATTAAGTATTAAAAACACAGGCTCTCACTGTTACAATACACTTCATAGTTTGTGTAAAAAAATCTATAGACTTCTCACCTTCTGTCTAGAAATAAAGGATGACTCTGAAATAACTATTACTTTCACAAGAGGCAGAGCTATGAAAAAAGATATTCATATCGACAAAGTAAGTGCTTATAAACACTACTCTGCAAGATCATGTATTTTGCTTATGGTGCATATGTTAGATTATTTATTTGAAAAATATTTAAGAGACTAAGAAGGCCAACTAGAATAATAATTTTTTTTTTACCCCTGCACATATATAGCAAATTTCCTATGAGTCAAATTTTACAGGTTTTGGGCAAAGAGAATCTAAATATACAAAGACATTGAAAATACCTCTATGAATGATCTAAAAAACATTTTAAAAATGCATAGCAATGTCATGGTTTTTAATTCTGATATTTCAGAACCTTCTAAGACTATGTTTAATTTTAGTGCTGGATATAAAGTTTATATTCTTAGTCCTGACTGTTAGATATGACATTTTTAAGGGTAGGTTTTGCTTAGAAAAGTGCACATTAAAATGACACTCACTCAACCATTTCTCAGTAGGGCAAGCCCTCATATAAATTACCATAGTTGCAAGTGGATGGAGCTATGACAATTTACATCAGCTCTCCTCCTCCCCATTTGAAGTCAGAATAATGCCCTCCCTACTTCACATAGTCAAATACATGTTTACTGTTTTTTGTTTCTGCTGGTGCAATCTTTATGTAGTTCTGAGATCATGAGTTATATTCCCTTTTCTGATCATTCCTCATTCACGGCATTAAATAAGACTCATCTGCAGAATGTTCAGTGATGAGTGAGTCAGAAGGAACTCAATTGACTTTCTGATTCTAGGGTTAGTTTAAAACCCTAGAATCTGAGGCTATGTCTACACTTGCGGCTTCTTGCGCGAGTAATATGCAAATGAGGCTAAGCGTGGAGTATCGCCGAGCCTCATTTGCATACCTAATGAGCCACCATTTTTTTCAGAAGAGGCTCTTGCGCAAGAAGGAGCATCTACACTGCCCCTCCTTGCGCAAGAAAAACCCTCTTGCGCAATGCTATTACACCTATTACTTGACAGGAGGAACAGCATTGCGCAAGAGGATTGTTCTTGTGCAAGAAGGGGCGGTGAAGACACTCCTTCTTGCGCAAGAGCCTCTTCTGAAAAAAATGGTGGCTCATTAGGTATGCAAATGAGGCTCGGCGATACTCCACGCTTAGCCTCATTTGCATATTACTCATGCAAGAAGCCGCGAGTGTAGACATAGCCTGAGAGTGAAAAGAACCATCTTTATACTTATAAACATGCTTCAGGATGTCAACAATAAACACACAGCTATACAAATAACAGAGTCACTCTTCTGAAGATGCCTTTTTATTGAATATTTGACTATCCAGAGACTCCAGCTCATTTTAATTTTGCAGGAGAAATGCCATACTAGAAAGACAGGGGGAGGCAGAATTTCTCTGGCAAGTTGTTTCCTTAAAAAGGTGGTTTGAAGTTGCTCAGATTTTTTTAACGTCAGAAGTAGTCCCAGCAGAGGAAATTAATGACCAGGGTGTAGTGAGGCAGCAAAATTCATTGTGTATTATCTATATTTAATATATGAACAAACACGTTCATTCTGCCTTCTTATATGCAAATATAGCTTCCATGAGATACAAAGCCATAATTTTCAGTTACACGCTATGGATGACAAAATTATGGAATTAGTCTATTAGTCTATTTTTGAGATTTATTCAAAGTAAAAGTTGCATTAGTGACTAATATGTTAGAATAACAATTCCCAATTATTTTAACTCTATTTGAGATTTACAGTTATACAGATCTGAAAACAATAGAGTAGTATATAAGCATGAACTGCATAAGGTACAGTGTCCAGATGAAGAAACAATTTATGTCAAACAGCTGAAGAAGAACCAATGTTCTCACAGGACAATTCCTGAAAAGTTACAAACCAAGGTTTTCCACATTTCACAGAATGAGATTTAGGAAATGTAAGCAGAGATTCAGGGTGGATTTTGTCCATTGGGAAAATGACAAAAAATATCAATAATAGAGAATAACTTCTATAGCAAGCATCAGTTTTCAGCCTTTGGGAAATAGTCATACAGGCTCAAGTTACCAGCTGGAGAGCTGTCCCTCTGCCCATGTATAGTCCATTATACTATCCTCTTTACTTTAGTGATTCAAATATTTTAACCTTTTTTCCTGCTTGATGTGGAGGGGGAGGCAAAAGGCCCTCTGCACTACTTAGTCCCCAGATAGGCGAGGGGAAGTGTGGCAAATAGTAGCTGTCCAAAGTGCAGCTAGCATGGGATCCCCACAGTCTTGTTAGGTGATGGCTTTTCATTTGAAAATGTTTTTCCTGTATAGGTATCAAAAAATATGAAAACAAAGCTTTTAAATCCTCACACAAAGCAGCACGGACTCTTTCCAAAATGGATTGCAAATGAATTCTAGAGCTGCTTTGAAAGCTTTAAAGCATTAGGGAAGCAAATAGCTGAAACAAACAAAATTTGTTTGAACTCGCAAATCCCACATTTCTGCATGGAAACTAGTGCTCACACACACAGTAGTGGTTGCAGATGTAGTTGCCTATTTTCCATTATGCATTCACAACTGTCCTGTTTGCATGAACAAATGCAGAGTTTTGTTGTGAAAATGTGTAACATGCAGATTTTGCTTATTTCAACATTCACCTGTTTTTTTGAACTTTCCTCCTTTTAGTTCTAAAGTGCCTCTTTGATCACCTGTAGTTGTGAAGACATATATAAACTGAAGTGATCTTTTTATACACTTCAAAACTAGATGTAGTTCTTGTCTATGGCCATGATTTGGGACTATGTGGAGTCCCCGTGGTCATGATTGAAGTTTGAAGTTAAAATGCCTCTGAAATGTTTTAACATGATTTCTAAGTTTTTAATGTTTTATATCCATCCACAAGTGACATACTACTGATTAGGTTGATTCCAAACTCGTAGCTAAGGACAAATATTGGTAGGGCTATTTGCATTCCTAGGGAATGACAGCTAATAGCCTCAAAATTATGCATGCACATAAAACATGATGGGATTAGATGAAGGGAGTGGTGTTTGTTTATGTCATACAATTCATCAGGAAATTAATAATTTCTGGAATAACTCATTTTATATGTATATAAGTATACACTTTGTGTAGCATGCACAATACATTTTGTGTGCTCAAGAATTCAAAGTTCCCAGAACTACAGAAAAGATCTTCCTCCTTATTTAGCCTGATCTTCCACTGTAAGTTGTTCTCTAACTCCTTCCTTAATACATACGACACTGCCACCATGTACTTTCCATGTATGTAGCAATTTGAAATGGTCTTATATTATGAATATAGATAATGTTATGGGTTATTGATGGAGAGGAACCTTTCTCCAACTTGCCCTTTTTTTCAGAATTCAGTCACTCAATATTGCTTCAATAAAGCATGCTTATCACTGTATTATAGAATCATGGCTCTTACTATGTAGTGGTCATTTGAAAGAGATCCAAAATCTCTATGATCTTTGTTCACCTTGCCCCATCTGAAGCCTACATTCACTGATCATAATAGTCTACTGTGCAAGCATTTTCTTGATTGTTCATTATTTATGGTTCTCAGTGGTAGCAAATGTATTATCCCATACAAATGCCATGTCTATATGCAAAGCACATAGATTTTTAAAACTGAATAATTCTTACAGTTTTTTCAGTGAAAGTCAATCTACAAAGTTGCTTACAAAAATAGCAGTTTACAAGAAGGGTGTCCCAGTTTGAAAAAGAAAGATGTGCTTTGGATGAAAAGCACTGAATGACAACATTGAAGTAAAGGTGATAACACAGACCTTTTCAAAGATCCATTTACTGCTCAGATGCAAACAAGGGAAATGATACGATTAAAAATATTCAGTCACAGATATGAATATTTGGAACCAATGGACTAGCTAAGTTTATTGTAAACCCAGTTTAGATTAACATTCTCTCTTACATCAGTAATCCCATTGACATGATGGTCTATTTACTTAAGTACAGGATTGAGATCCAGATCTCTACCAGTATGTATAAACTTACATTTATTTACATATTTAAATATATTTAACCAGAACATACATATTGACTGTGCCTATTTATGACAAACTGGTTTGCTATATTTGCTTTAACATTAAATAATGCTAAAAAAGTCCTAATGCACTGGTACTGTATTTTGAGATTTGTATGTACTTGCCTTGCCACTTTTCTTGTTTGTTATAACTTTCAGTGAATTTTAACATTGGTCCAGCTATTCTCTTTCTCTCTCTTTCTGTGAGGCTCACATGTTTGACTGATTTAAATATTCTATAATGACTGTTTGGCATATCCTACAGGCAAAGGTCCAGAAACCCTTTTTGCTGGCTATAACCTCAATGATAATGAGTGGCACACAGTACGTGTGGTTCGTCGAGGAAAAAGTTTAAAGTTAATGGTGGATGACCAACAAGCTATGACAGGTAGTGTGCAGTTATACTTCATCTTATTGGGGAAATAAAACATTTAAAAAAATAGCAGAATGAAAGACCCTTACTCAAAGCCCATTAAAGTTAATGGGAGTGTTTTCACTGACTTTAAATACATATTGCACAAGATTTAAAGTGTATACTATGCAGCAGGTAATGACCATCACAAGATATAACCAGAAACTCATCACAATTTACACTAGTTTTAATTTTTTAAGGCTTGATCAACTCACACTGAATTCAATGACAATTTTTCTGTTGACCTAAATAGATGTTTGATAGAAGGCAATCAAAATGCCCTCTGCACCACTCATATCCAATTTAAAATGTTGTATTAACCTCTTAGGTGCAGTTGACACATTTGGGGAGAGGAGTGAGTCAGGAGCCCTGATTTCTGGGATTTATTTTAATTTTTTGCGCAAAAAAAAAAAAGACAGACTCTTGATTAAATGAAAATGGACAGAAGAGTTTGTCACAGAAGGCATGTCAAAGGAGGCTGGAATTATGAATTGTGGAAAGGGCGTGAGCCAACTCTGCCTGCAGAAGAGGCAGGGCCTTGGGTGGAAAAGGGTAGTTTGATTTAGGCACCACGCACCCCTGGCAGAGGGAGACTTCTGGCACTCCATGGCCCCCAGGCCAGCAGGGGCTTTGAGATAGGGAAGTGCGCAAAGTCTCTCGCCCTGCACCCCCACCTTGCCAGGTGTGCATGGCATCTAGAGGGAACCGCCAGCCATTTTGAACAGTTGGCCGTTCCTCCAGATGCCACGCATCCCTGGTGTGGGGAGGAGACTTCGCATGTTCTCCTGCCTGAGGACAATCAGGGGAGGTTACAAAGTCATTTTCTGTTGAAAACAGCTGGTGTCTCCCTCTTGGCATCACGCGCACCTGGTGGGAGGAAGGAGTTGGCAGGTGCTTTGAACAGCTAATGACTTCACGCTCACCCCCACCTCCTCCTCCAGTCTCAATTGGTCTGGGGGCCCAGCAACTCTCTGTGAGGGCCAAGTAATATATATTGCAGGTCTGCAGTGCAGTGTGTGTGACTGTTTTTTGACAGAGGTACTAAAACTGAAAGGAAAAATCTCAAGTAACATTGACCCAGAACAAAGGCTTTTTAAGAAAAGAGTTGTACAAAGCAAAAAAATGATTGTTTTTATGAATTGTGCTTAAATGATCTATTAAGAAGTTTATAGTTCTTTTGTTTAAATGTAAACCAACCCCTACAATACTAGGAAATCACATGAGTCAGAGTTGAACCTGATTATAAGTAAAAAGTTATTGGAAAAATTCAATTTCAGTGTCCAAGCTGAGTGAAGTGGGGGAAGTCAGTAATGTGCACAAGGAAATAAGTTTTTATCTTGTTTTAACAATTTCTTTTAAGATCTCTTGGTGTACATTTTGATTAAATATAGGAGCATCTCCAAGAATGAACTGTTTACTGAATTGTGGAGCAACCTTTACATATCACACAGCTTGTGTATTTTCTAAAGTTCAGGGTATTCAGGGCTGTCGAATCGTATGCTATCTGTACTCGCCATTGCAAATGTACACCTGTAGGATATGGTCCAAAAGCAGAACTTTCCTTCTTAAAAATTGCACATACTGTAGTATAAGGATGGAAGGCTGAACATGAAAAATGAAGATTTTAAATTAATCACCATAGGTGCATCACAAAGCTGACATATGTAAAAAGGTGCAGGCTCTAAATCTGGTTTGGGTTGTGCATCTGTGCACACCTGAAAGGGTGCAAACAAGAGCTTCACCAAAGATATTACCCGCCCTAATTGGGGCTCCACTACAAATCTAATGAAACCCGCTTTTCAAACTCTTTGATAAAACATGACAATATACATTCAAGGAAGGTATGGTGTTAAAGCCATCCTTTCACAATTGGTAGCTATTCCCCACTGCTATCACTGACCTGGGGAACACTTATAAATGTACAAAAACTCTGAGCCTTGATTAAATCAAAAAAGGGATCGTCTAGCCCATTTCCTTGTGAAAACTAACATAAAGCAATGTAATCCAATGACTAAATGTGAAAGAACAAGATGGACTCTATATTTACAGCAGGATTCTGGGAGTAATAAGAATATCCCACCTTCTCCCACACACCCTTCCCATCCCCCTGTAAAACTTTTTATGATAAGTGAATTGGTTCACTTTGTGGTATGACCCAAACAACTATTATTTTACTAGAATACTTGCATCCATATCTGGTGTGCACATTTAAAAAAAATGTTGAAAAATTGCAAACAGTTCACAGAAGCCACTAGAAGGCTGAAAAACATTAATTACAGCATAAGATATAAGGAACCTAGTGAATTTAGTTTACTGAAGTAAAAGTTAAGAGGTGATTTGTTTAGGGTCTGTAAGCACACACACACTTGGAATGAAAGAGGGCTCTTTAATCCAGGGGGCAAAGGCATAACAAGATCTATTGTCTAGAAATTGAACCTAGACAAATTCCAAGTAGATAATTAGCCACTGGAACAACTCATCAAGGAATATAGTTTGATTATGTGACGTGATGGAGAATCTACAAGACTGGATATTAGGGATGTTAACAGATAACCAGTTAAAATGGTTGCTTGGGAGCCTCACCTCATTCCCTATCCAGCCTCAAGAACAGTGAGCAGTCCTGTGGCACCTTGAAGCCTAGCAGATTTATTTGAGCATAAGCTTTCATAGGCAAAAACTCACTTCGTCAGTTGCATCTGAGGATGTTGGTTTTGCCCCCAAAAGCTTATGCCCAAATAAATCTGATAGTTTCTAAAGTGCCACAGGACTCCTTATCATCATAATCCTTTGTGGCTTTTAAAAAAATCTTTGGGTGAAATCCTTGAACCACTGAACACAATGGCAAAACTCCCATTGATTTCAATGTGGACAGGATGCCGCCTTAAAAATCTATGAATGTTGCTAAGATGGTCCAAAATACTTTTGGATAGCTGTGTGAAAATAGTGAGTTACTTTTGAGGGAGGAGGGAAAAAGATTTATCTTCTTAATATATGCACAATATGCGTCAAGTGGCATGCAATCCAGATACATCACTAAATTTGGACTGCTGATTGGATCGTTAGCTTTTTAAGTGTAGATCTGACTTCATATTGCTTGCTAATAGGATCACAGATTCTAGTTGCCTTCAGACACCTATGGAGATTTCTTTTACAAGCAGCAAGTGTAATATGTGTATCATGTAGGGTATGAAACTGCAGCTGACCAAATGAGATAAGACCTAAAATCAGTCAATTTTAGGTCACATCTGAAAATGTTTCTGTCACCTTTTCCTCAGAGAGCCGGGTTCAGTGATCACATTACCAGAGCCATCACATCCATTGGAGGGTTGGGGCAACCATGCCAGACCTTTTGCTTTGGAGGACCCCCCCACAGCCCAGGAGGGCCCGGGTAATTAGTGGAGGGTCTGTTGCCCACAGTTGGGATTAGGCCTACACCTGTACTCACTGGCATTGGGAAGAGGAGCAACGTAGCCCCAGCTGCATCACTCAGGGAAGGGGTGGAACTGCTCCCCTCACTCACCAGTGGTGGGAAGTGGAGCAACTCAGCTGAGAGCCAATGCAGTGGAGCAGGCTGCATCCAGGTCACCTTGCTTGCTGTTAAGTGTGGGGAGCCACCCCTGCTGCCAGCGCCAGCCTCCCTCTTCCACTAATTTCCCTGGCCACGCTGTTCCTGTTGACATAGCACTGTCTACACTGGATTAGTTTGATATAACTGTGACCTAAGGGGTAAGGATTTTTCACATCACTCAGTTAAGTAATTATACCAAGGTCCATTGGCAGGGTAGACCCGGCCATAATGTGCACGTTTGGGGTGCACACTGAGGCCTGATCATAAAGCTATTTAAGCAATGGAAAAATTCCCAGTGACTTTAACAGGCCATGGATTAGTTTAGACAATGTCATGTTTGGAGCCAGAACTTGGTCTGTGTTTTTAAAATATAATGATGCTGCAAGTTTTGCAACCACTTCACGAACATTTATTTCAGACCCTCACATTGTTTATTATTGTCATTTTAAGGTCAAATGGCTGGTGATCATACAAGACTGGAATTCCATAACATAGAGACAGGGATAATAACAGAACGTCGCTACTTGTCCTCCGTTCCTTCTAATTTCATTGGCCATCTGCAGAGTCTCACATTTAACGGCATGGCATACATTGACCTATGTAAAAATGGAGACATCGATTACTGTGAGCTAAACGCCAGATTTGGATTCAGGAATATCATAGCAGATCCTGTCACCTTTAAAACAAAAGCAAGCTATGTTGCACTGGCTACGCTACAAGCCTACACATCTATGCACCTTTTTTTCCAGTTCAAAACAACATCCCTGGATGGACTGATACTCTATAACAGTGGAGATGGAAATGATTTCATCGTAGTTGAATTAGTTAAGGGGTATGTACACAACTGATTGCCATAAGCAAAATAGTTTGCGGGGTTTTTTTTACCTTCTTTAGACATGTAAAAAGCATGGGGAGGTTTAGGTTGGAAATCTTGACCTTCATAACCTCTTAGAATGTCATTGGTAAACATCCTTTGAATTTGATTTTTTTAAAGGCCGAAACTAAGTTAAATCTGAGAAGCAAATAATAATATGGTTTGTTTAGAACAAAGAAATATAATAATGCTAATGAACTCTTCTGGTTTAGCAGTAGTTGAATCCAGCCCCTGACATTTGGGATTATTCTCTTTGCTTGCAAGTAACACTGAAAAGAGCCAGGAAACAAAATATAGGGTGCCTTAATTTGTACCTTCTCAGGTATGCAAGAAAAGCTAACTTTTTTTAAATATTATTTTTCCAGGTATTTACACTATGTGTTTGATTTGGGAAATGGTGCAAATCTCATCAAAGGAAGTTCTAATAAACCTCTGAATGACAATCAGTGGCACAATGTGATGATCTCAAGGGATACCAATAATCTTCATACAGTAAAGATTGACACCAAAATCACAACACAAAGCACAGCAGGAGCCAGAAACTTAGACCTCAAAAGTAAGTTCAGTAATTCTGGTGTAATAGGTAATGGGATACTTTATTGATGGATGGCTGGGGCACTTATATTTATCAAGAGTAATTTAAGTTTATGGTGCTACATAGTTATAAGTATATGGTACTATAACTGATAATAATTAATATGCCCATGTGGATTATTCTTACACTCTCAATTTAGTAATTCTGTATGGTTATGAAAAACCAAAAATGTAGAGAAAAGAAAGCAAATTTACACTAGGCAGAAAAACAAGGGAGTGATAGGAACACAAGGCTTTAGGGCCCTATGAAAAATATTCCAATGCAGTTAATAAGGATGAAAGCAGTAAAGCTATGTCTAGACTACACCCCTCTGTCAGCAGAGGGATATAAATGAAGCACTTCGAAAATGCAAATGAAGCTGGGATTTAAATATCCCACGCTTCATTTGAAAAAGCGCTATTTTGAAATTGAAACCACTGTCTAGATGCGGTTTCAAGATCCTGGTACAGGATCTTTCAAAAAAGCACCCCATTTTCGAAAGAACTGTGTCTAGACTGTGGTTTCAATATCGAAATAGTGCTTTTTAGAAATAGCACCATTACATGATTATGCAAATGAAGCGTGGGATATTTAAATCCCCACTTCATTTACACTTTCAAAGTGCTTCATTTATATCCGTCTGCTGACAGAGGGATGTAGTTTAGACGTAGCTTAAGTGTCTATAGGAATTAAAAATAATGAATAGTCCTGTGGCACTTTAAGAGACTACCAAATATATAAGATCATGTGCTTTCACAGGTAAAACTCACTTTCATCAGATGAGTTGGACTGGAAATAACAGAATTCTAGATATATATAATAGCAGAAGCTGTCAATTATAGAACCTGTGTTAATGAAGCTAATGAGCTAAGTAGGCTCATTCATAGCTTTTGATGTAAAAATGTGACTGTCAAAGGCTGGGAAAACTGGCTTTGTAGTGTTTTAACTAGTTAGTATCTTTATTCAAGCCCAGGTTGACAGCAATTAAATAACTTTATAGAAATTACTCCAGTATCCTATTTAATTCAATTGAGATTCACATCCGTGCTGTAATTCCAAATTTGGTTTAGAATGCCTAGAGAAAGGTTGTCATTATTGAGTTCTACAAGTACTTTCCACAAAGTGTAAGATAGACTAGATGCCATGAACATTCCCAGAGAGCACAGCTATATAACTCTTCAGTCCTTACTTCTTGTTTGGGAGCAATTCTGACCTGAAGTTTGCTATTTAGTATTTAGTATGAAGTCTATTTATTGGTGCTTGTAAGGTAGGAAAGTAATATTATCTTGAGTGCTCTATTCAGTCACATGCTTTCTTATAATTTGATGTAATATCTTGCAAAAAAGTGCACATTTTTGTGCCAATTCTCACATAAAAGTAATAAAATATCAGATGCCTGGTACATTAAATATATGTGCATGTTTGTGTGGGTATCTCTATCTCTATCTCTGTCTCCATCTAATCTTATCAATCAAAGTTTGTGAGAGGGAAAGAACTGAATAGTAATTTGATTAGCAAGAATGGCTCTTAAGGAATCAATTAGGGTCTGTGAAACACAATATGTATTTGAAAGACAGTGTAAATACATACATTTTAATTCTCATATTAGAACATAAGGCTGTACTGGGTCAGACCAAAGGTCCATCTAGCCCAGTAGCCTGTCTGCCGACAGTGGCCAACACCAGGTGCCCTAGAGAGGGTGGACCAAAGACAATGATCAAGCGATTTGTCTTCTGCCATCCCTCTCCAGCCTCTGACAAACAGAGGCCAGGGACACCATTTCTATCCCCTGGCTAATAGCCTTTTATGGACATAACCTCCATGAAATTATCTAGCTTCTCTTTAAACTCTGTTATAGTCCTAGCCTTCACAGCCTCCTCTGGCAAGGAGTTCCACATGCTGACTACACGCTGTGTGAAGAAGAACTTTCTTTTATTAGTTTTAAACCTGCTACCCATTAATTTCATTTGGTGTCCTCTAGTTCTTCTATTATGGGAACTAATAAATAACTTTTCTTTATCCACCCTCTCCACACAACTCATGATTTTATATACCTCTATCATATCCCCCCTCAGTCTTACATGGTACGTATAACCAAGAAAATTCATTCTGAGTTCATGGTACAATATTCTGTATTTTATAACTTTTTATATAAACATATCTTATTAAAGGAAATACAAAAATAATACATAAAGATGAAAAATCTACATTTCAGAACATTCAGGTTATGATACTAATTAGCAAAATGCAGGAAATTCACATTTGATATTAATATTCCATCTTGAGCTCATTGAATTTTCTTTTAACCACCTTCTGAGTTAAAGATAATGAGCAGACCTTGGTAATTACTGTGGATTTTATATTTCACATGTTTGTGACACCTTAAATTGCTACTAAGATCAGAAAAGAGCCTACAAAAATGGTATCTTGAAGTTTCTTGCTTTCCGACTAGTGTCTTCTTTATCAGAAATGCTTTGTTTTACAAGTCTAATCAAGATTTTCTAATTACTTGTGCTGCAGCTTCATTGTGGCATTTGAAAATTAAATAGTGTTCTTTCTGCTTTCTATATCTTTGCTCTAATTATGGACAATTATAATTCAAGCATCAGAATCTGATTGTCAAAGTTATTGTTGAAGAATGAGGCAGAAAAAAATCCAGCTTTTTTCAGAGCTGTACTGGCTCTGCAAGTATGTGTGTGTGCATATGAATGTTAGGAATGTCAAATCCTGTTTAATCAGTTAACTGGTGAAACGTTATGTTTAGTGGGTTAACCGCTTAAATGGGGGTGCCAGCCATGACTGGGCTGAAGCATCACCTGGACTTGTTAACCAATTAATTGTTCACATCCTGTGTGAGTGTGTGAGAGAGAGAGCGAGAATACACATGTGACTACAAAATCAGATTTTGACAGTATATTAAAAAATGCAACTTGAAAAGCAATGAGTAGTTCAATGGCACCTTAGGGTATGTCTACACGAGGAGTAACGGTAGTTCGAACTAGGAAGTCTAGTTCGAACTACCTAGTTCGTGCCGCGTGTAGCCGCGCGGCACGGGGTTCGAACGAGCGGGGATTTAAAAATGGCGGCGCCCCGCTTATGCAAATGAAGCCTGGGAAATTCAAATCCCGGGCTTCATTTGCAATTGCGGTATGCCTACATTACCCCGCTAGTTTGAACTAGCGGGGTAGTGTAGACATACCCTACGAGACTAACAAAAATATATATTGTATCAGGAGTTTTTGTGGGCAAAACCCATTTCTTCAGATGAGCTGGAAGCTGGAAAGGAAAGATCCAACTTGGAATATTCATCCTGTCATGAGTGGTTAAGAGAAGTTAAACATTTTTTTAACTTATACTATGCACAGCAGATACATTTTAATATTGTTCAGATATAGTGTTGTTTTTTATATTTTACAAAAATAAGTTGAGTTAAAGATACTATGCTTAATGAGACACTAGAGGGCACTATTATGTCACAAAATATGCTACTTGGTATATTCATGGAAATATAAATCCTGCTGGCAGCTAGGATAGACTATAAAATCCAACATTCCTTTGTTTTCTTCATATTCAAAATTCCATAATATTCTCTCTGCATGCAAACCCAACCATTGCTTATGGATTTGGTAACCCTGAAGCTGCAGAATTTCAGTGCACAACTATTAAGGAATATAAACGTGTGTCAGCATTTTAAACCAGGGAATTTAATTATATTAAATACTAACTTTCTAGTGGAAGTTTTCTGTAATTTGTCATGGAGCAAAAATTCTTTGGGTAAAAATAGAATAATCCTCATGATAAAGTAAATGACTTGCTCAAACAGGCTTTCTATTATAATACAGAAGCTTCATGGGGGTAGCCGAGTTAGTCTGTACAGGATAAACTTAAAAAACAACAAATAGTCTGATAGCACTTTACAGACTAACAAAACACGTAGATAATGTCATCTACATTTTTTGTTATTATAATACAGATATTTTCTTGCCAGAAGTACTGTGTGTGTTTCATCAATATAACTAGATCATATAATAGGAAATATAAAGTTTCATAAAGTTATTAATTTTAACTGGTCATATGGGAACTGGGCATTGTGTAATGGAAAAGCCCAGTTACATTTCACTGGCATTTTCTATTCCTTCTTTTATTCCCTTTGAATTATTCTTCCATATCATTCTTTATTTTAAATGACAGTAGCAATCCTCTGTTGTATTGTGCACTGATCCTGCAAACACTTATGCAAATGTTTAACATGACTCGGATCAGTAGTTCCATTGATTTAACTGTACAAAGAGTTGAAATATTTTTTCACAGAGTGAAATTTTGATTCAAGAAATGTTGAAATATTTTGTTCCAGTTTAGATAGATTTGACATTGAACTGCATCCACCTGAGCTACTTGTGTAGCCTCAAAGGTAGCTAGTGGCTACCTTGGTTACTTCCTGCCTCCATCCTTGCTGACACTCTCTCCTCTGTCCCTTCGTATGATCTTGCCATGTTCCGGTTTTCATTTGCTTTTCTTCTGCCTCTTTAACAAATCTTGAACAGGCTAGAGACTGAAACGTCTGAAAAAAAAAAACTGGTCAAATTCACCACTGATATAACTCCAGTGATTTCAAAGATATGTACATTTGGCTCAATGTCCCTACTTACCAAAGAAAACGTTCTTTCAGACTTGCTATGAAGATTTACTAGCCCATATATGTTCAGAACAACTCACCTGCCTTTTACCATGATGATTGGTGATAATGAAAATCTAATAATATTTTCCTTGTCTGTCAAAATATGTTACTCATGCTGGATGAGTGTAGAGAGGGGATACAATTTTGCAAGGCTAAACTAAACCAGCTTGTTAATGGAGAAGTGTCTTGTTCCAGGAGTGGAAATTGAACATGAAGTGATTTCAATTTTCTACAATATTTGTTCTTATTGTTTTATAATAAGTCCTGTATTAACTTTTTCCACACTATGTATTTCTCCTTCTCA